AGCGTATTTTGGCGCTAACTGCGCTGTTTAGATGTAAAAGTGCTCTTATTGCGTTTGATAAGCTCAGTCTTGCGTCGGCCACTCATTTCGCGCATGCGTTCTGTTAATTTAACGTTAAATGCGCCTGGAGTGTTTAAAAAGCGTTCTATCTAAATTACTTTAAAAAGAAATAATATAAACAATTTTGTATATTAAAAACTAATTTTTTATTATACCACACTATTTACTTTAGCGATTTTTCTGTCCAACTGGAAATTAATGTTTTGGCGCTAATTGTGAAATGTAACATTTCTAATTGCTCTTTGTGCGCTCGAGCAACTGATTTATGCGTTCGAGCTACTCATTTTGCGCATACGTTCTGTTAGTTTTGCGTTAACGTTTTGTTTACAAAGCTCAGTGTCCTTTTTGACAAGTGTCACGTCAATGAACCGTCAAATTAAAATGAACCTATATATTTACAAATACTTCCGAAATACACTGATTTAAGAGTTCTACACTTCATTATTATCATTTAGCACTCTTTCACTTCTAAACTGTTAACCAACTGTTGCGCTCTCAGTTGTTATGTTAAGATAACAGTCGTCTTTTTGGTTTCAGTCGTACAAAACTCATTGAGCGGACTGGCAACGGCGGCGTCTGCGTGCGTTAATAATTATTATTATTTTTTTTACAATTTGTTTTTGTTGTTGTGCATCGAAGCCTTGTTTAGATTTGAAACGAGACGAAAAAGTTCTGAATGAAGTATAAAGTGTGCTTTACGTGCGATGCAATTGATCATTTCAATTCGGTATTATTGTTATTGCGGTTTTAGTACGCCAAAAGTAAAGTAAACTCGTTTACCAACACAGACGCTGTGTTTGTATTTGTTTGCATTTGCCTTGCTTTTGCTTTTGTTTGTTTGCTGGGCCGATGTTGCGCGCGGCATTCAGATGCAAATTTCATGCACCACATAGAGCAAACTTAATGGGCAAAATTGAATTAAAGAACTAAATGATATTCAATGCATTCCTTTTTGCCGCGCAACATAACAATAATAACAACCACAACAACGACTACTGCAACAACAGCAACCACCACAAGAGCCAAACGACGACGCCAACGCTGGCAAACACAACAACCACTACAGTTAATAAACTGTAGCAACAGTTGAGGCAGCAGAAGAAATATAAAATAACAACTTAAAAGGTAAGCGACATACACATGCAGATATGTATTTACATACATACACGCATACAAATGCACTTACAATGCGCTTACATACACAAATACATATTTACATGCGTCAGCTTCCAAGCTGCGCTTTTTATACCCGACCAATAAGATTTGCGCCCACTACAATAAGCATAACGGTATCGAAAGCTGCGTCGCTGCCTGTCTGCTCAACGCCCTTGACAGCTGTGTGCGACTGCGACGTCAGCAGCAACTCAATAGTGAAATGCAGCATGAAAAAAAAAGAAAAGGCAAAGGCATCCCAATCAAATGGAATTTAGCCGGTTTCCACAAAAGCAGACAAACTGCCAGACGGCGACGTCAGCGGCGGCAGCGACAGCAGCAGCGGCATACAATTCTCAAGTGAGAGCGTCTCGCTGCAGGAGTTATTGCAGACGCCGGCAGAGACGTCGCGTCGCAAGTTTTTTTTTTTTGTCTTTTGTTATTTTTATTTGGGTTGGGTTTCTGCTGCGCTGGGACTTTCGCAGCTCAAGAAAGTTCCAGTTAGCGGTTGTCCTCTCTAACTGTTCAAATTAAATATGAACAGAATCCACATGCATTCCACAGGCCGTAAACAAACTCGAATGAGAGTATCTCCCATTAAATTATGTAAATTAAAAACAAAAAAAATTGGCGGGCTGTGCAAAAAAGAAGAGATTTCAAATTGAAAAAAGCAGTAGATAAAAAACAACAACAACAACGATAATGACACAAGATATACATACATACATATGTATGTATGTTCTACAGAAAAGATACATATTTTATTATTTGCTTGAGAACTTGTTCTTTTGTTCGACATTTTGTAGCTTTTTTCACCTTTTTTTTAATTTTTATTATTGTATGTTTTTTATTCTGCTTGGTATCTTTCGAAATTCCGAGCAGTGTAAAAAGTGTCTCAAACGTGCTTTTTTAAAGCTTTCAGATACCAAAAGGGCAATGTTTGTTGATATGACACTGGCCCGGCTGCATATACCCTTTGTTACACATTTACAGTTATTTGGTTGCTTTCATAAGTACATACATATGTATGAGGAGTATGTACAGGCACATACCCTATATTACAACAAGTAAGACATTTATGACGGCCACAACTTGATTTATTAATGAGTCTTGTTTTTTTTCCATCTCGTTTTCGTTGCTTTGCCCTCACTCTATGCCCGTAATTCGGACACGCCTTGTTTTAGCTGAGCTTGAATACGCTGCTGCTGGGCAAGGGTATTGTGAGTGGCATATGGAATACGTAGCACATATGCGCGAGGCAAAGATTATATAACAGATATCAGATCAATATGGGTGAAACAATACGAGGTCAATAGTTAAGTTTTTAAGGAGCTAGAGAAATCATTTATTGTGAGTTACAAATTGATACTCAATTATGGTATAGTATAATAGTAAATTAGAAGATATTAATCATAATCATATCATCATTATCATATGTAATATCTTACAACCAGAAGCGCATATTTATATGAATTTAGCTGTATTTGAGCTATATTAGCTTATTTTAACCATTCCGTGTAGAGTATTTCTATACTGTATTTTCGAGGCGATCTCTTCGCTTCCTTTCGTACAGATGTGTGCTGTGAATCATAGCTAAATGTATTTAATTAGCATTTTCGAGTTGTTATTATATGATTTCCGATTGCGTAAAGGTACGCAAAGGCCTGGCAGCATAGGCAACACGCACAGTGGCTGTCGTAATTATGCAGACGGCGACACTTGCGAACCAAATATTTATGAGCGCAACAAAATTTAGTGTAGCGCCACAATTAAATTGTCAACAGCAAGAAGCACAGATATAGTTTACAAGTTGAACAACAACAACATTATATCATCATCATCTTCAGCATCGTCATCATGATCGTCAACAGCATCGTCATCATTGTCATTGTCATCCGTTTGCCATTAGCCAGCTCGTATAAACATCAACGATGCAAGTCATAGACCACAAAATATTGGCAAAAACAACAAGAGGCACATGTGTTTGACAGCCAGCCAAATGCAGTGGGCCAAAATGGGAACCCAGCACAAGCACGAGCACACATACATGCATAGACGGATATATACATATAATGACACCAATTGTGCCGCCCTTGCCAATTATTTATGTTTGTGGACATAAAAAAGCACACACACACACAGACATAGACACATAAATGCCTGTCTCCTTAAAAGCGTCAAGCACTGAAAGTACCGTAAGGCTCATAGACAAATTTTACAATACTGGCAACCTAACTGTTTATCTTCTTTAATATGCAAAGCCATATACCCTACCCCATATCGTATAGCTCTGTATATAGACACAGATAGTCTAAAGGTAGAACCAAATGAACTGTTTTGATCCTTATATTATCTATAAATAAATATA